GCACACTCGGCGTCTGCCCTCTCAGAAAGTTCCGTAGGATACGCTACAATCGTCGATTCCATACTGATAAGACCGCACTCTGAACACGAAGCCGACCAATACTGATATTGTATTAGAACGATTGTTGGGAGAAAGCAGACTTAAAACTGGGTTTTATCGATCACGAATGAATTATAAAATTCAATACTTTTAAACGACGTTAACGAATAATTCGAAATAATAAACAAAGAACTGAATCCATTTGAACGAATGTTGCAAACGTGAACGGATTGTTGTGAGTGAAAATGAATGAATGATCATTTAGGATTTACTGATGATAACTTCCTCTTCCTTTACTGAAAAATATTGTGCCATATACTATAAAATATATTAGTTTTTATTGCAACTAAAGTAAAATTACTAATTGTGATAATTTTACAAAACAATACAAATATAAAATGTTCAATCAACAATGAATTATTCTCTGAAGTTAAATAATGCATGATATTTATATGCTTGTTTATGTATTTAATAAAATAAGAAAATATCGATTATTGAATTAAAGGGAACTTTTTCCTTATTACAGAACGTTTTAATATGTTTTAAATGATGTAAGTGAACAACAGTATTGTTACAAAAGTCTAAGTGTAGTTTTAAAAATGTAAATGAATTATTTTTACCGTAGAACTCTATTGACACTTGCGTAATATTGCTATCTCTTTCACTCCTTTTTGACAAAACAGAGACAGCGATATATTAATACGGCAGTGAAGACTTACGGTTACATTTCTTTATGATATAACTTCCAAGCCTTATGTTCTAAGATATTGTAACTTCGTTACTGTACATTGCATAATAATTATACATGTAAGTTGGAGATTTCAATATAAGTTAGACTTAAGTTGTAAATAAACTATATTTAAGAGTTGATTTTTATTTTTATTACTATTTCGTCCCCGATTTCGTCAGCGCAGAATTAAGTTGCCTATAATAACCCTGCATAATCAGCTACCTTCTTGTAAAAGTCACACAGACAAAAAAACGTTTTAAAATAGTTTATCGTTAGCAAAAAAAGATATTTAAAAGCATGAGGACTAGGCACGTTGTTTTTTTTCAGCGGTAGTTTCTCTGAAAAGTATGTTACTGCCACCTCGTGTCTTATATTGACCATGTAATAAATTATTTTACAAAATTATAATAAACTCCATCTTTTTTATAAAAAGGCTAAACAGTGTCTAAAAATAAAAAAAGCGCCATCTATTGATGGGTCCTCAAAACTTGTAAAAATTAATGGTATTTAAATTAATTTCCAATAGGTGTCGCTAAAATTTAAATATTTATGTTTTAATTTGGAACACTAGTTTATTTTATAACAAAAGATGGCGCTTATGGTAATTTTGTAAAATATTTTTATTTACATGTAAAACAAGGACACAAGATGGCCTTAAACTCAACTGATATAGTACTTTTTAGGGAAAGTGAAATAATATCGTTAATTACACCTTGTCTACATTTTTTAAATGTATTTAAGCACAATAAGACTTGGTTTAGTACAGACAATTGAATTTTTCGATTTCGTACAGATTCAATGAAACACAATATTCCTTTAGGAAATCAATTTAATAACAGCTTAACAATCATAACATGAATTAAAACAAACTTATATAATAAAATCAAAGGCTTTTTCGTGAAGGGGGGTTTAGGAGGGACTTAGTTAAGGGGGCTTAAGTAGCGAGTGTGCAGAGCATGGCGGCGCCGCGCTTCACCCAGAAGTCGGGGGGCTCGCGGCCTGACGCCAGCTCCACTGCCACCACAAACGCACCCTTACGCAAGGGGTAGTAGTAGCAAGGACACGTGTAGCGATCTGAAACACGTTTTTATAAATAAACAAATGTAAACACAAAACTTTATTTTATTGTTTACATTTGTCAAATTCTCAATTGCTAATGTCAAAATTTAAATGTAGAAATGACATCAAAGCCTTTGACAACTTGTAGTTGATGATCTCTTTCCCACATTAGGGTTGTCCCAAATTTGTTTAGCCACTAAACTTAGTGGCTAAACAAATTTGTGATAACGTGAAAATATATAGCCTAAAATTAAGTATAGGGCTTTTCATTAAAGAGTTATTCAAAAATATGCTATGATTGCTGACATCTTACGTCACAAAGCAGTGTATTTACGCTTTATCTATACTATACTAACATTATAAAGAGGAAAGGTTTGTATTTTTGTATGTATTCGATTGACGTAAAAAATTATGGTCCGATTTCAAAAATTCTTTCACCGTTAGAAAGGTAATTTATTAGTGAGTAACATGGGCTCTATTCTTTATTATTTACTAGATTTCCGCCGCGACTCCATCCGCTTGGAATTAAAAATAAACAAAAGTGAGTAGCCAATGTGTGCTTCCAGACTATCCTCTACATACCAACTTTCATTGAAATCCGTTCAGCTGTTTAGGCTACAAACTCTAACAAACATTCATCCATCTAAACTTTCGCATTTATAACATTAGTATGATTAATTTCACGCAAATAGCAGCTAATTATATTAGTCTAGGTAGACATCACAAAGTATTATTGTAATAAAGAAAGTATGATAGGTACTCTTAGGCCTCCTGCCGGTGGCGCGGACCGGCTTGAAGTGTATGGGCGGCATGGGGAACACCAGCTGCATCGGCAGCGGGTCCTGCAGGTGCGCGTCCTTCTTGAACCAGCTCGCACCCTCCAGGAACAGGCCCCTGCATTCCATAACTTAGAGCATCGTGCTTACTAGTGGTCGCTTCAATCTTGCTTTTTTAGCGCTGATTAGTCTTTGTTAAGTGAAAAATATATTCAAGTATATCTATACTAATATTGTAAAGAGGAAAGATTTCAATTTTAGAATTTTTGTATGTATTGAAATAATTGAAAATCTACTGAACCGATTTCAAAAATTCTTGCACCATTAAAAGCATCACTGAGTAACATTGGCTATGTTTAATTTCACGCGGACGTATTCACGAGCAGCAACTAGTTACTAATTACTTTACTGATTTACTGATTTTTACTAAAACAAATGCGAAAATTTAGATGGATGGATGTTTGTTAGAGATTGTAATCTAAACTGCTGAACGGTTCTCGATGAAATTAGGCATTGAGGTAGAGGATAGTCTGGAAGAACATATAGGCTACATACTTTTGTTATTTTATCTCCATTCGTATAGGGTAGGGCGAAAGGTATTATTTAATAATGTAAACCAAATTTAGGCAAAATAAACTTAGTGCAACGAGTTCAAGGTAATGCAGTAATGTCTATACCAAATGAATATGTTTACTGGGTAAATACAGCTTTGACTTCTAACTTGAAAGGACTATTTCCGCACCTAATGTATACGCCGCCGTCGCGGGGCGCGCGCATTATGTTCTGTTCCTCGATAGTGAGCACTGTGAAGTCCCAGCACAGCGTGTCAATGGGCCAGCCCTCGCCGCGCGCTGTCGTCTAGCAAACATTGATGTAAACCCAAGTGCCAATAGCCTAATGATTTGAGGAATAGACTACCGATCTTACGGTCGAGGGTTCGAATCCCGCCATTCGACTATTGTCGTGAACTTTATCCTACCACAAGCCTAGAGCTTAGTTGGAATGGTTAAAGGAAATATTAGTAAATTAATAAGAATCTAATATTTTTACAAAAAAAAAACAAAACGATTTAAAAACATACATAAAATAGACATAGTTAACACTTCAAATGCTTATTTTATTTTGTGATTGTTTAGTTTATAAAAAAGATGGGGCTTATTATAATTTTGTAAATACAAGGACACTAGGTTGGCACGAAACTTGACAACTGATTTAGTACCTGTCAGAGAAAGTACCTGTGAAAAAATTTTGTCTATATATTTCGTAAATGTGTGTTAACCCTATTTGGCTCATTTAGAGCCTGTCCCACCAAATTGTAAACTGTCTGATAACAATCCAATGTGTAAAATATGTGATGAAAATATCGGATTTTGTTCACTTATGTTAGTGACGTAATTTTTAAGCTATCTGAACTTCAATCAGCCAGTAGTGGGTATAGGCCCTTAATGTTACAGCCTATTCTAGACCTGCGCTGCGATAAAGGTTGTCTTACCTGCATGACTGCGGTGAGGAACCCTGTGGGCGCGAGTAGGGCCGGCAGCCAGCACAGCGGCGG